ATCATTGGTCATTCGATTGATAAAGAAATGATCATCACCATATGTATCACCAGTCCATATCAAATATACAGTGAAACATCATATTTCCTCAAAAGGATATAAAGAGCACTTCTGGTCACTAAAAAAGTAGAGGGAGGTCCTTTTCGCTGCTCCTTTTTTTACCCACGAAGTAATAGTACAAGATGAGAACAAAAGCAGCACAATCTGTTTTATTAACCGGTGAACTTCTTCATCTCATCTTCTCCGAGTTTACTCATCAAGATGATTTATTTTCCTGTCTTCTAATCAACTCGCTATGGGCCATGGTAAGCCACCGAATTGGTTCTTGAGGATTACTCATCCTTCGAGTTAGCGATAGTCTACGTTCATCAAGGAAAGCTGCGTAGTCAAAGTAACCTTCGAATGGTTCGGTAATTCAATAAAAGAGTTCACTCGAATTGATTTTCTGATCCTTTTACAAAGGTTTATTTTTGATGGTTGAAGTAGCGAATTTTTTTTTATTTTAATACAAACGATTTTTTTTTGATCAAAAAATTTTGTTTGTGCTACTACAATAAATAGGACAGGTCACGCCATCATTCACGTGCTGATACATATTTTGTTATAAATATTCATCAATAGGCAATCGTAAGAGTCCTTTGGAAGAAACCAGTGTGGAAAACTCATGATTCGTATAGAAGATGGCTTCGTTCTCTTCGTTCCACACATGCAACTTTTGAATACGGTAAAATGGTACAACGGCTTGCATTTAAACCATACTCACGATGTCGAGGCGATAGGTATCAACCCAGCGAACTTAAGTATATTGCCAGCCGTTGTCGGAATGTAAAGCACATTGAGTTTTATTGTCTTCATGGAACATTTGAACCAAACAATGTTATAAGTTTTCTAAAAACTCTTCCTGAGTTGGTCTCTTTCTCCACGGACGCTTCTTGGCAACCGGCATTGGATGCAACGTTACGGCCAATTGCTGAAGGGTCATGCCCGAAATTGACTCATCTCGAAATTCCGGGCAATGGTGAGACTGATCGGTGTTCCCATCTACTCCAGCGAATTGGCGAAAATTGCCCAAGAATTGTGATGTTGAAAACTCGATGGGAAATTTTCGGAAGAAAATTGGCACAAATAATTGTTAACTCGTTTCCTAATCTGGAAACCCTGATCTGTCGTAGCGTTAATTATGAGTGCCTCAGAATACTTTTGTCAGGTTGTAGAAGACTTAGGAATTTCGATTTCATTTTCTCCCTGGAATTTAACGACGAAACAGCTTTATCAGTTGCGCATTTATTCCCAACATTGGAAGCATTTAGTTTGAGAATTTTTAGTAGGAACAATTTTCCACAATTCATGTCTTCATGGGCACAAAATCAGACACAGTTGCGAGAGATAAGCCTTTCTTTTGGTGAAAGTCTTTCAGATGATAGCTTCCTTCCAATTACTCAATACTGTCATAATCTAGAATCTGTCACTTTGTTGTGGTGTAGTGGATTCTCTGATTTGGCTTTTGTGTCTCTTGCTCGTAATAGAAACTCAGGGCTTAAGCGTCTGCATTTCTATCATGTGAAAGACCTGACCGATGTTGGATTAACTGCGATCGCGAATCACTGTCCTAAATTGCAAGAACTTCATTTGATACATTGTGAGAGCCTAACACAAGCATCTTTAGTAAAAATAGCCAGGGATTGCAAGAATTTAGTTACCTTTACTGCAGAATTTTGCTCTAGACGTTACAATTGGCAGATGACAGCAGCATTTCTCTTCACTCTGGCTAATCGTAACCGTGGTACGCTCGAGGTCTTAAAGTTTCATGATCGCAATACGTGTATAACCGAGATAGAATCGCACGATAAATATCGATTTGATAGTCTGCTATTGGATCGTCTAGCATTGCGTTGTCCAAAGTTAAAAAGGCTGGAGTTGTATACATATCATCAAGAATCAAATGCAAATGTAGGTCTTTTTCTTT